GAGGACTACAAATCCCAGCAATACATTATACAGCAATGCAGAATACCACCAGCTATAGAGGACTACAAATCCCAGCAATACATTATACAGCAATGCAGAATACCACCAGCTATAGAGGACTACAAATCCCAGCAATACATTATACAGCAATGCAGAATACCACCAGCTATAGAGGACTACAAATCCCAGCAATACATTATACAGCAATGCAGAATACCACCAGCTATAGAGGACTACAAATCCCAGCAATACATTATACAGCAATGCAGAATACCACCAGCTATAGAGGACTACAAATCCCAGCAATACATTATACAGCAATGCAGAATACCACCAGCTATAGAGGACTACAAATCCCAGCAATACATTATACAGCAATGCAGAATACCACCAGCTATAGAGGACTACAAATCCCAGCAATACATTATACAGCAATGCAGAATACCACCAGCTATAGAGGACTACAAATCCCAGCAATACATTATACAGCAATGCAGAATACCACCAGCTATAGAGGACTACAAATCCCAGCAATACATTATACAGCAATGCAGAATACCACCAGCTATAGAGGACTACAAATCCCAGCAATACATTATACAGCAATGCAGAATACCACCAGCTATAGAGGACTACAAATCCCAGCAATACATTATACAGCAATGCAGAATACCACCAGCTATAGAGGACTACAAATCCCAGCAATACATTATACAGCAATGCAGAATACCACCAGCTATAGAGGACTACAAATCCCAGCAATACATTATACAGCAATGCAGAATACCACCAGCTATAGAGGACTACAAATCCCAGCAATACATTATACAGCAATGCAGAATACCACCAGCTATAGAGGACTACAAATCCCAGCAATACATTATACAGCAATGCAGAATACCACCAGCTATAGAGGACTACAAATCCCAGCAATACATTATACAGCAATGCAGAATACCACCAGCTATAGAGGACTACAAATCCCAGCAATACATTATACAGCAATGCAGAATACCACCAGCTATAGAGGACTACAAATCCCAGCAATACATTATACAGCAATGCAGAATACCACCAGCTATAGAGGACTACAAATCCCAGCAATACATTATACAGCAATGCAGAATACCACCAGCTATAGAGGACTACAAATCCCAGCAATACATTATACAGCAATGCAGAATACCACCAGCTATAGAGGACTACAAATCCCAGCAATACATTATACAGCAATGCAGAATACCACCAGCTATAGAGGACTACAAATCCCAGCAATACATTATACAGCAATGCAGAATACCACCAGCTATAGAGGACTACAAATCCCAGCAATACATTATACAGCAATGCAGAATACCACCAGCTATAGAGGACTACAAATCCCAGCAATACATTATACAGCAATGCAGAATACCACCAGCTATAGAGGACTACAAATCCCAGCAATACATTATACAGCAATGCAGAATACCACCAGCTATAGAGGACTACAAATCCCAGCAATACATTATACAGCAATGCAGAATACCACCAGCTATAGAGGACTACAAATCCCAGCAATACATTATACAGCAATGCAGAATACCACCAGCTATAGAGGACTACAAATCCCAGCAATACATTATACAGCAATGCAGAATACCACCAGCTATAGAGGACTACAAATCCCAGCAATACATTATACAGCAATGCAGAATACCACCAGCTATAGAGGACTACAAATCCCAGCAATACATTATACAGCAATGCAGAATACCACCAGCTATAGAGGACTACAAATCCCAGCAATACATTATACAGCAATGCAGAATACCACCAGCTATAGAGGACTACAAATCCCAGCAATACATTATACAGCAATGCAGAATACCACCAGCTATAGAGGACTACAAATCCCAGCAATACATTATACAGCAATGCAGAATACCACCAGCTATAGAGGACTACAAATCCCAGCAATACATTATACAGCAATGCAGAATACCACCAGCTATAGAGGACTACAAATCCCAGCAATACATTATACAGCAATGCAGAATACCACCAGCTATAGAGGACTACAAATCCCAGCAATACATTATACAGCAATGCAGAATACCACCAGCTATAGAGGACTACAAATCCCAGCAATACATTATACAGCAATGCAGAATACCACCAGCTATAGAGGACTACAAATCCCAGCAATACATTATACAGCAATGCAGAATACCACCAGCTATAGAGGACTACAAATCCCAGCAATACATTATACAGCAATGCAGAATACCACCAGCTATAGAGGACTACAAATCCCAGCAATACATTATACAGCAATGCAGAATACCACCAGCTATAGAGGACTACAAATCCCAGCAATACATTATACAGCAATGCAGAATACCACCAGCTATAGAGGACTACAAATCCCAGCAATACATTATACAGCAATGCAGAATACCACCAGCTATAGAGGACTACAAATCCCAGCAATACATTATACAGCAATGCAGAATACCACCAGCTATAGAGGACTACAAATCCCAGCAATACATTATACAGCAATGCAGAATACCACCAGCTATAGAGGACTACAAATCCCAGCAATACATTATACAGCAATGCAGAATACCACCAGCTATAGAGGACTACAAATCCCAGCAATACATTATACAGCAATGCAGAATACCACCAGCTAGAGAGGACTACAACTCCCAGCAATACATTATACAGCAATGCAGAATACCACCAGCTATAGAGGACTACAACTCCCAGCAATACATTATACAGCAATGCAGAATAGTACCAGCTATAGAGGACTACAACTCCCAGCAATACATTATACAGCAATGCAGAATACCACCAGCTATAGAGGACTACAACTCCCAGCAATACATTATACAGCAATGCAGAATACCACCAGCTAGAGAGGACTACAAATCCCAGCAATACATTATACAGCAATGCAGAATACCACCAGCTAGAGAGGACTACAAATCCCAGCAATACATTATACAGCAATGCAGAATAATACCACCAGCTACAGAGGACTACAACTCCCAGCAATACATTATACAGCAATGCAGAATACCACCAGCTATAGAGGACTACAACTCCCAACAATACATTATACAGCAATGCAGAATAGTACCAACTATAGAGGACTACAAATCCCAGCAATACATTATACAGCAATGCAGAATACCACCAGCTAGAGAGGACTACAACTCCCAGCAATACATTATACAGCAATGCAGAATACCACCAGCTAGAGAGGACTACAAATCCCAGCAATACATTAGACGTGAATGCAGAATAGTACAAAGCTACATACTCTGTGCTGCTCTGGGGTGCCAGGCTGATGTTTCCAGCAGAGGATCTTAGGAGGGCTGTGAGGGGACTCAGGAGGCTGTGTGAGGTCTCAGTGAGCTGTGTGAGGTCTCAGGAGGCTGTGTGAGGTCTCAGTGAGCTGTGTGAGGTCTCAGGAGGCTGTGTGAGGTCTCAGGAGGCTGTGTGAGGTCTCAGGAGGCTGTGTAGGGGTCTCAGGAGGCTGTGTGGGGTCTCAGGAGGCTGTGTGAGGTCTCAGGAGGCTGTGTGAGGTCTCAGGAGCGCTGTGTAGGGGTCTCAGGAGGCTGTGTGAGGGGTCTGCTGTGCGGGGTCTTAGGAGGCTGTGTAGGGTCTCAGGAGCGCTGTGTAAAGGTCTCAGGAGCGCTGGGTAGGGGTCTCAGGAGGCTGTGTGAGGGGTCTGCTGTGCGGGGTCTTAGGAGGCTGTGTAGGGTCTCAGGAGCGCTGTGTAGGGGTCTCAGGAGGCTGTGTGGGGTCTCAGGAGGCTGTGTGAGGGGTCTGCTGTGCGGGGTCTTAGGAGGCTGTGTAGGGTCTCAGGAGCGCTGTGTAGGGGTCTCAGGAGGCTGTGTGGGGTCTCACCAGGGGTGCTCATACACACCACGATCACACACACCGCGATCACACACACCAGCCGCGGTGACTTAGGGTTCGGGGGCGCTAGTATCGGGTTCACGAGTACGAGAAAATGTGGAGTATTGGCACCGATAGCGGCATCAGGGCATCCCTTAGATTGTAAGCTCCCAGGACGGGGACGGCTGTGATTGTTTCCTGGTGATATAATGACAGATCAGCAATCCTCCAATCAGACAAGAAACGATCTCTGGCCCCTCCCATACAACTGGATCTGATCAGAAACACCGACATACACACCGCGATCACACACACCGCGATCACACACGCCGCACTCATACACACCACGATCACACACACCGCGATCACACACACCACGATCACATACAGCGATCATACACCTCGATCACACACGCCGCACTCATACGCACTGCGATCATACACCGCGATCACACACGCCGCACTCATACACACCACGATCACACACACCGCGATCACACACACCACGATCACATACAGCGATCATACACCTCGATCACACACGCCGCACTCATACGCACTGCGATCATACACCGCGATCACACACGCCGCACTCATACACACCACGATCACACACACCGCGATCACACACACCACGATCACATACAGCGATCATACACCTCGATCACACACGCCGCACTCATACGCACTGCGATCATACACCGCGATCACACACGCCGCACTCATACACACCACGATCACACACACCGCGATCACACACACCACGATCACATACAGCGATCATACACCTCGATCACACACGCCGCACTCATACGCACTGCGATCATACACCGCGATCACACACGCCGCACTCATACACACCACGATCACACACACCGCGATCACACACACCACGATCACATACAGCGATCATACACCTCGATCACACACGCCGCACTCATACGCACTGCGATCATACACCATCACACACCCCGCTCACACACACCGCGATCACACACGCCGCACTCATACACACCACGATCACACACACCGCGATCACACACACCACGATCACATACAGCGATCATACACCTCGATCACACACGCCGCACTCATACGCACTGCGATCATACACCGCGATCACACACGCCGCACTCATACACACCACGATCACACACCGCGATCACACACACTGCGATCACACACGCCGCACTCATACACACCGCGATCACACACACTGCAATCATACACACCACGATCACACACCGCGATCACACACACTGCGATCACACACCGCGATCACACACACTGCACTCATACACACCGCGATCACACTCATACACACTGCAATCACACACGCCGCCATCACACACGCCACCATCACACACACCGCACTCATACACACTGCACTCATACACACTGCACTCATACACACTGCACTCATACACACTGCACTCATACACACCGCACTCATACACACTGCGATCACACACGCCGGCATCACACACCGCACTCACACACACTCCGATCACAAACGCCGCACTCATACACACCGCAATCATACACACTGTGATCACACACACCGCGATCACACACGCCGCCATCACACACACTGCGATCATACACTCCGCACTCATACACACCACCATCACACACACCGCGATCACACACGCCACCATCACACACACTGCGATCATACACGCCGCCATCACACACGCCACCATCACACACACCGCACTCATACACACTGCACTCATACACACCGCACTCATACACACTGCGATCACACACGCCGCCATCACACACCGCACTCACACACACTGCGATCACAAACGCCGCACTCATACACGCCGCACTCATACACACTGCGATCACACACCGCGATCACACACGCCACCATCACACACACCGCGATCACACACACCGCACTCATACACACTGCGATCATACACGCCGCCATCACACACACCGCGATCACACACGCCGCCATCACACACGCCGCCATCACACACACCGCGATCACACAC